CACCGCCTCACCTCACCAGCCGCTTCCAGGGTGCCATCAGGCCTTTGGGTCCACGGAGATCGGCAAGTTCTCCAGGTCCGAGTTCTTCGTGAATATGGTAGGTGAGAGTGGCAGCGGCGGCGGTGTTACATCGGATGACGGCGACGGTATCGATGGCGGCGACGATGGTGATGTAAGTAGGGAACATTCCGTCTCGGAAACAATGGAAAATACTGCTTTCGACACCGAGGATAATCGGGCCGCATTCGCTGTCGGCGATGACGCCCGCGTCGTCGGCACGCCCGTGCCGTCGTCGATCGGCAGCGCGTACTGCGGACAACCAGCGACGCCGCGCTGGCACAGTCCACACGTAGGTGTTATAGGTAGTGAAATTTAAACGAGATCGGCTGCGGTATTGCGTACCGTACGTTTCTCCATGTTATCGCTATTGAGAAAGAGATCAAGAGATCAAGAGATAATTAATGTTTTTGGAAGCAAAAATTTACTATTTTTAGATTATAATTGGACAATGAAAGAGTCAATCTTAAATTTATTATTTCGCGATTGCACAAATGGCCATTTTTTTCTTAATAATTTATTATGGTACTAATAAATATCATTGGTACGGTGGTACGGTACAGAATACCGCTGCAGGTCGATTTCAATAGGACGTTATCCTCGTCTTTTTTTAGGCTAAAACGGTTCCCGTAGCTTTCTGATGCGTGACAGTTTGTGATAAAGTTAAGTGGCGATATATTGTATTCCCGATAGAAACACGTATGTTACAACAAACAAATTACCGCTGTAACATTTGTAGTGTTTGATGTGTAGCGAATTTTTATGACAAAAAAACTGTCCACACTTTACATTATATATGCCAATAGGAGATACTCATCCAGAAATTGGAACCGCTATAATTTCGATGTATTTTAATTTAACCGCCAAGGTCATTTCTATGTTTATTTGTGACGATGAAACGTTTAGCGAGACGATATAAGAACCAACCTTTGATATCTCTAGCGTCAGAAATTGAACTCGAAATCGCATCGGTTTCAATCCTTGGGTTTGTCTCCATGATGAAACCTTTGTCGGAACCTATAGCGTCGCTTGGAAAGTAAAAGCGGGACAAAACGCGTGTCATGCGTAGCGAATGCAAGTGCATCGATTGGCGAAAGCTGTCGGGGATCGATATTGGCGTACGAAACGTCCCGACAAACTGCGAACGTTCGTCGAGATTGTGCCTTCCAGAGGATCGGGGATGCGTCGGGGAGTTCTCGTCGAGTTCTCTCGCCTTATCGAAAATCAAAGTAGCACGATACACCGCGTCTCGTATGCCAAAGGGAAAATATAATCAAAAGAAATCATGCCGAGACGATTCGTACTCGATCGGCACCTTCCATCACTGTTGTTAGATGCCGTCGGCGATATACACGTCGGCGAAATTATACATATAAATATAAATAAATAAATAAATATATACATATATGTATATATATGGTGTGTAATAAGAAGGAATGAAAATGCGCGACGAAGAGAGTAAGATTATTTAGTAGATTCTTTAGGTCAGAACGTATTGCCGCACGGAGAAACGATCAAATAAAAGTGAAGT